CACAATAAGGAATGGTATAGGTTGGCCAAGTCAGATAAACACTGTAACCAGCTAAATGGGAACCATTCATCATAGCGTTTTAAGCCAATGCCATCACATCCTTGTCTTTATTTCCAGGAAGGGTAGTGTAGAACAATAGATTTTTGGTACCAGAAGAGAACCTTAGGGATCATACAAGCTTCTTATTTTACAGCTGAAGAAATCAAGTCCCAGAAACAGAAAATGACTTTCTCAATGTCACACAGCTGGTTAATAACAGACTCACTCAAAGCCATGATTTAAAGGGAAGCAAATTAACTAGGTGGCACAGTGGGGAGAGGGCCTGGAGTCAGGAAGACTCATCTTTGTGGGGACCTCAGACACTTAGTAGCTGTATGATCCTGGGCAAGTCACTTAACCCTTTTTGCCTCAGTTTTCACATCTATAAAATGAGCTGGAGAAGGAAATGGCAAACCACTCCAGTACCTTTGCCAAGAAAACCCCAAATGGGGTCACAAAGAGTCAGATATGACTGAAACAACTGAACAAGTCTTCTACACCAATCCTATCTAATCACATCCCTTCTACCTCCTCTCAGCACATCAACCAAAACACATCCCTGGTCACTATCTCCAAAGCTTAACATTCATCTTTTCATGTGTTGTCCTTTTTTTCTCCCAACCCCTCTCCAAGTATTGGCCATGAAGCAGAGTTGCAATGCCCTTTGACCCCTACCACCATTTCCAGACCATTGTTCTGCCACCATCACTCAACAACCTCTTCTCTGAAGTTGGAATCACCCCTTGGATCATCCTGGCCATGGCCAGATGGATGCAGCTGAGCCCGAAGGAGGCTTGGCAGACACCACCATGATGAGTTGGGAGGCGATGGGAAAGAAAAGCAGCCCAAATGAAAAGGCTGAAGCTTTTGGGAAATCAGGTAGACTAAGATAAATGGCTAACTCCCCGGAATCCCCTGTTTTTTGGCTCCCTCATCTTATACAGATTTCTCCTATTGAATCTTTGCCCAGAAACTAGTCTTCCTGCTTGTCTTAGGTTTGGGATCTTGATATTTCTCAGATAGCCTAGTACCAGCAGGGTTTACTGGGAGGTGGGGGTGGTTTAGACTAAGCTCAGTTTGCTCTCCTCTCAATTTGGCCCCAGGTCAGGATTCTTCTCCTCCCCCAACTCCCCAACTCAGGGATTTGTCTAATAAGTGACATTGGGTGGGATGAGTAACTCTGTTCAGATCTTTGTCATTGTCAGTCATTGACCTCAGGACACTTTATCATCTTTTTCATTAATTTTCACACCTGGAGCACTGCTTTCCTCTATGTTTCAACCTTAACCTCCAGTCTTTAGTGGTTGCTAAATCTACAATGTTAATCCTTGGTAATTCTGGCTTCTTAGCTCCCAGGCATCTCTATTGCTTCTAGGATAAATATAAATCCCACTGTTTAGCTTTTAAAGGCCGTCACAACCTGTCCCCAAACTATCTTCCTAGCCTCCTGGTACATTACTCCCTGTTCTGTAGTCCCAAATCCAGCCAAACTGATCTTCTCTGTTCCTCGCACCTGACATTGCATCTCCCCTCGGATCCTTTGCAACAGTTTGTCTCCCATGCTTGGAACAGCCTCCTCCACGTTGGCCTCACAGAATCCCTTTCTTCTTGAAGACACAGCTCACACTCCTCCTTCTATGGAAGCCCTGCCTCATTCCTTCCATCCCTCGAGAGTGCATACTTCTTAACCTTTATATTTAATTACCTTGTACTTATTCTGTTTATATTTATTCTGTCTACATTTACATATGTAACCTATTTAACATGGCTAATATGGAAATACATTTTACATGACTTTACATGTATAATGTAATCCTTGTGTTTTCAGTGGGTGGGAAGGAAGGAAGGAAGGAAGGAAAGAATTTGGAACTGAAAATTTCAAAAATGAATGTTTAAAAAAATAAAAATAAATTTTAAAAAAGAGGAAAAAGAAGGATGTAAGCTATTTGGGAATATGTATTATTTCATTCTTTGTATCTGTATCACCAACACTGAGCAAGGTGCCTGGCACATAATAGACAATAAAATGCTTATTGATTGACTGATTAGCTCATCAGCCTTTTCAACTGCCCTTTATGTCCACCTTTACTTTACATTACCCTCTTGCTCATGCTGGGTGGAACCCGGAAACTTCTATATCTGGCCCTTTCCCAAGGCCAAACTACCTGCTCTTCTTGTAAGTACATAGGCTTACAGGTTTCAAAACCTTGAAAAGTTTTATTTACACAGTAAGGATGCAGGAAAGACTTGGACATGAGCCCACATAGTTACCAGAACCCTTTCTTTCTTTTTAAAATTTTACTTTGTTATTATTATGAACTTAACATCAAATGAAATAAGCCTTTCTATGTACACTGGGGAAGAGAGGGGATGTTTGCACATATAACTGTGAGTCTCTATTATTTAGAGCTTGCATTTCTTTTTGAACATAAATTAAATTCAACATGTAACTTTGAAAGCTGTTCCGTTTGTTTGTGATTCCTTGTGGCCTTCCTTCTCTCTTTTTTTTTGTATGTGTGTGTACATGTGTGTGTCTGTGTGGGGGGATAACATATCTACTTTCCCTTTCTCTAGTCCATTTAGCCCCAGTGAAAAAGAAGAAAAACAAAAACAAAATCCTTGTAACAAAAATGTATAGTAAACAAAGCAAATTCCTACATGGGCCGTATCCAAAAACATATGTTTCATTCTGCACCCTGAGTCCCTTACCTCTCTGTCAAAAGGTGGGTTGCATACTTCATCATTAGTCCTCTGAATCATGGTGGTCATTGCATTGTTCAGAGCTCTTCAGAGTCTCCAACTTGTTTGTCCTTACACTGTTGTTATTGTAGAAATTGTTCTCCTAGTTCTGCTCAATTCATTCTATTCATACAACTCTTCCCAGGTTTCTCTGAAACTATTTTTTCCATGATTTCTTGTGGAGAGATAATATTCCATTCCACGTATATACTATAACCTATTTAGCCATTCCCCAACTGATGGGCACTCCTTTAGTTTCCAGTTCTTTGCCACTACAAAAGTTGCTGCTATAAATATTTTTGTAACAGAGAAGCCTTTCCCTGTTTCTGATGTATTGGCCTCCTGTCAGGGGCCCATACAGTCCCTCCCCATGTTTCACAGTACTACCTTGGGTCCTTTACTGTATTGATAAAATTGTTCTATGTTTAGACACCTTAGAACGTAAATCTGGGTGCTTGTAAAGAGGCATTTGGTGGCTACCATAAAGAGAGTGCCATATACTGATGCTCCCAGGTTGTGAGGAGGGAGGAGAGGACATTGAGACAGAGAAGAGAGAGATCCTCAAAAGAACGTAGACCCTCCATGTTTAGCACAAGAGTTACACTTCCTCTTGCTTTCATCTACACATACCATTTAAACACTTGAGTTGGCGGATTAGTTAACCCATCATTCCACCCTGTACAGCTCTAATTCTATTATCCAACATTAACTACTGATTTCAGCTTCATGCAATTCATACGTTAGACAAGCAGTCCCTCTGAGCTTTCATCTAAGTCATGGAGTCACAGAGTTCTAGACTCATCTGTTCCCATTCATATTAATTTCCTTATGGGGAAGACTTCAGGGAGGCCATTAGTGACCAGGCCTTCATAGAGTTAGCCAAAGGCTTTTTAGGATGTTTTATGGGACAAAAACACTAATTTTACCTAATATGTTGGGTTCCAGGTTTGATCCTATTTTAGGGTGTCTAAATTGTCCCCAGCAAGAGGTGGCCTGGCATAACAGAGAGATCTCAGAACTCGAGGCAGAAGACCTGGGCTTGATTCCCAGCTTTGACATTTCTTTAGCTATGTGACCAGGGACAAATTACTTCACCTCTCAGAGACCTGTCTGGAGGAAATGAGGATAAAACTTGCACTATTTACCTCACAGGATTACAAAGAAGATGCTTTGCAAACCTTAAAAGTGCTGACCTTCAATGTAAGCTCTTCAATTTCCATGGGGGGCATCCAGTCCAGCTTCTTCATTTAACAGATAAAGAACTGAGGCACAGGCAGTTTAAATGACTTGCCCAACGTCACACAGCTAGTCTGTGGCAGTGCTAAGACGGGGACTCTGGCCTCCTAACTACAAGTCAGGTATTCTTTTCACTCAGTGAACATTTTCTTTATCTTTCACTGGGACTCTAGGCCCACCTAGAAAATAAATCAGTCTTGCAAAAAGAAGTCACAAAACAATAGCATTTAGAGTTAGGATAATTATTCTCCAACTGTGTCACAAAGGGATTACTGATTTCTCTCCTGGGATACAATTCAAGGCAGTGAGGTGGGGCTTGGGCCTAAAGTCAGGAAGACCTAAATTCAGATCTAGCCTCAGATACTTCCTAGCTGAGGGACATTAGGCAAATCCCTTAACCTCTGTCTACCTCAGTTAACTCAACTATAAAATGGGGATGATATTAGCATTTACCCAGGGTTGTTGTGAAGATGAAACGGAGAAAATATTTGTAAAGTGCTTAACACAGTGGCACATAGTAGGTGCGTAATACTTATTCCTTCCCTCCCTCCTCCCTAGGGACAGAAACCAGAAGCAAATTCAGCTGGTACAATTTAGATAACATGGCTAATCTGGATCAGAATACAGGTCTCATCATTCTTTGCTTCTTCAAAAGTGCATGCTCTGTGTGAGCTGAAATAGATCTACCACAATACAGAAATTATAGAGATAAAAACCTAGGTTTTATTATGTTTAAGCACAGGTTCAGAGGGGTAGAAAAATAACCCCTGATGCCTGATTAGAATTCTAACCAGGCTTCATTATATACAAAATATGTCAGAGTAACAGAAAAGTAATTCTTTCATATATTACAATCTCACACATTATTTTAGGCTATGTAAATTTTTTCCCCTGAGGCAATCGAGGTTAAGTGATTTATCCAGGGTCACACAGCTAGTAAATCTCAAGTGTCTGAGGTTGGATTTGAACTCAGCTCCTCCTGACTACAAGGCCAGAGCTCTATCCACTGTACCACTTAGCTGCCCCTAGGCTATAGAAATTTTTAAAGGACTGATTCATAATCTCATGCTTCCCTCAACGTCAAAAGAGTTACACAAACTTAGTTAAGAAGAATCATAATTTCATACATCCCCTAAGATAATAAATCTAGTTAAGCAGACAGTATAGGTAAACTAAGTCAGTTACAGATTAAACTACATTTAGAGAGTTTATAATGAGCTGACTGAGAGGGAGAGATTTACTTGCTTACAAAGGTAGTAGCATCAGTAGAATCTCTTCCTCAAGTCAAATTACTTGGGAAGCCTTGGCTTTCTCTGTGAGTTTTTATCTGAGGGATGTTTGAGGCCTTTAGTAAATTTTCACATCCCATGGGACAGCTTTCAGGCAGCTCAATTACCTCCTGACTAAGAGCAATGACCCTGACTCCCCACCTCCCATGATAAAAACTAATAAAAGAAAATAAAAAATAAAAATTCCAATAACAATTCTAATAATCCAATAGGAAGAGACACAAATACAAACACAAAAAATGCTGCTGTCCCACCATCTTAGACTCTTTTGGGGTCTTCCACAGCACTCTCTCTAATGACCCTTACCACCAAGTACTGGTCAGTTCTTTCCTGTTCCCAAACTCCTCTATATATCAGAGGCTTCCTTCTTTATGGTGTCCTTACAAGTGGTTGGTAGAAATTCCTGTGCCACCAGCTTCCACTTGCCTCAGATTTTTCCCACGAAATGCTCCCCTGTTCACCTGTACTCTCATTTTTCTCTCCTGTACCTAATCTCCTACCAGAAACATTAGAAATGAAAAATTACAACTCCTAGAAGTATGGGTCAGAGCTAGCAAGCTAAGGCCAACCCCAAGAGATATTGACTCCATTTATCTAGGCTCTTGCCTAGGTCAGTTCTATGAAGTGGCTTTGATTGTCATAGAGTCAAGGTTTGTTTCTCCCTGTTATATTTTGATTTTGAAAATTAACACATCAATGCTGAGGACAGAGCCCTACTGAGTACCACTAAAGAGACTTCTCAGGCCCGACAATAAGACATTAATTAATACTCTTGGATTCTGGTGGTTGGACTAGTTCCAGATTCAACTAATCGTATCGTCACCCAAACCACATCTCTCCATCCTGTCCACAGTGTTCCAGCCTTGCCCTCTTGCCTTGCTCGGGCACAAAACTGATTCCCTTATCTAGAATAACTCAAGGTTTGATTCTGGGGCGTAGCGTTGTTCCCCACCTTTTCTCCTGCCACTTTTTTTTTGTGTGGGAGAGAAAAAGAGTTTTGGCATTTAGAAACTGGGTAACCCAAGAATTTCAGAAGCTTTGGAAGTTTGCTCCAAGACTGCTGTTCGTCCTTCATTCTCGAAGAGGACTAATGATATCACAAGGGTGATGTCTTGACTTGCAAGTGAATTGGATTTAAGTGAGGCAGAGCAGAACAAAGTCACCAGTCACTGTCTCCTCCAGAGTCATCCAAGTCTAGCGGCAGGATGTAAATCAAGATGACTTGGCAGCGGCCCAGTGCTCCAAGATTAGTCTCTACTCAGACGATGAGTCCATGTAATAGAGTTGCTAGAAATTAAACAGGAAGCCACATGGACCTGATAGTTCTAAACTAGGATGTGGTCTCTGACAGAGACCCAAACCTCAGTGAACAAATTTTTAAAATAGACTTAGGTTTAAGGGCACAAGATAGCTAGAAATGATGCTGCCCTGAGTTCAAAAGAGCTTGGTGCCTGGCACAAGTACTTTCTTCCTGGATAATGAATCTCCTCCACTTAAAGCTATTAAAGAAGTACACAGATAACTTTTCATAGAAAAAGCAAAAACAGAGAAACCTTTCCTCTTTTATCACAAATGCTGTGAATGTGCCCTGGCTGTGTTCCCTACATATATACATATATATGCCTCTCTATGAACATTCCCTACCTATGTCTATTTTCCCTAAGAAAAGTGGGCGTTGTGTTTATTTGTGGGAGTATGTCCCATGTTTATGGGGGAAATATTTATGACTTTTTTTTGTTACGCCACTAAATGAAATGCCTGTGTTTTGAACTGTGTTCTTTGGCTAATTAGAAAAGGTAAACACACTGATGGGGACTTAAAAGCTTTGGTTTGGGGTGACATAGACCCATAGAGAACCCTGAACTTTCGACAGCCTTGTCTTGGAGTTGGGAACATCCCCAGGTGTTAACAGACATACAATCTCCTCAGCCTGACGTTTAAAAACCTTTCACAATCAGGCCATTTAAACTAACCTGTTAGCTGTTACCCACCTACATCTGGTTTCTACTTGCCTTTGCATAAAGAATTCCCCAGTTTTTAATGCACTCCCTACTTACCTGCAATATACAAGACCCTGAGCTCCCTTCACAGGGCAGGTGCCCCCTCCTTCCAGAAGCCTTTCCTGATACTCTCATTATTTACACTCTCTCCTTCGTACTGTTGTACTGAGAAATCAGCGAGTGAGATCCAGACGTAATTTAAGATGTGGCTTCATTAGCGCGTGGCTGCCAGGGGTATGCACATCCAAATCAAGCAGCAGCCATCAGGGGTCGAGCTAGGGTTTATATAGAAAAGAGCATGGGAAAGAAATGTGAGGAACACTGATGAGGTAATCCAAAGATGTAGGTGTCTTTGGGGCTATGGATGGGAAAGTACAGGGAGTATACAGGACAGGGAGGGGGATGGATCTTTGAAGTCTGGCAAGAGGAAGAGTTCTTGGGCTGGTCAAGGACACCCCTCTCCCTCTGTCTTGATGAGAGAATGCTCTGCAACAAGGGAAAGCTTTCTCACAACACAGGAACTTACTGAGGAATTGGGAGGCTTCCAGAGACATGATCTGAGGGCTGGGGCCTGAGCAGCCCAGCTCTGTGTAGCTGTACCAGGGAGAGAGATAAGGGTCATGCTGAGGCCCATGCATGAATAACTGCTAGGCACAGTGTCCTTGGGCTGGGGAATGGTTGTTAGAGACAGTGTTTCTGAGACTAGGGAGAAATTGGGGCACAAGTACAAGCACAAGCACCCAAGCACCCCATTATTACGGATCAGAGATCACACAAACCAGACCAGGTGTCCTGGTCTCTGGTATCAACATAATTATCTAAAGTAATTATATTGCAAGCTTTCTTATCCATTTGCGTTGGAGATGCGGGCTGTGCTGAGCTATACAAGTGTACATTTCACTATTGTTTAGATTTAGGAGGAAAGAGGTCTGGGGCAAGATTAAGCACCAACTTTTGCTTTCCATGGCTTAAAGGGCCCTACTACCTAAATGGCAAAATGATGTTCTGTATTACGGTACAAAAGAGACTTTGCATTTAGTTACTTCTGTTCAGGTGGTATTCCGTCAATGGAATGTATGCTCCTGGAAGGCCAGGTCTGTTTGCTTTGTTCTTCTGTCTCTAGGACCGGTACAATCACGCACATAGCACGGGCTTGATAAATGTTTGACAAATTACCTCAAATCTCTGTAAGGAAAAAAGATGGTTGGTGGTGAACTCGGGCTGTGTGTATGTGTATGTCTACGTGTGAACGTGGGGGTGGTGGTGGTGGTGAGCTGTGTATGCCACGGAATTATTCTGATTTTTAAGACAACCACAACGATACTTTGGGGGAGGGGAGAGAAGGGCAGTTCCTGGTGCAAGGGGACAGATCTGAGTGGGGCATGGATTCAAGTCAGTAAACTGCGATAAGGGCTGGGGATGCAAAAAGTGGCAGAACCCGAGGACTCCAGGAACCTCACTGGGCGTGCTTTCGGCCCCGGCCTGTCCCTGGCTGGGTTAATCCCTCCCCTAGGCACGGGTAGTTCTCCACGCCCGGCAGCCACGCCCTCTGCTTCGTCTCAGCCAGTCCGGCTCTGCTTGGGCGCCACCTCCTACAGGAAGCCTTTCCTGATTCCCCGCCCTCCCTCCGCCCCCTCAGCTCTCTGCCCCGCCCCCCACTGGTTTGTGTTTACTTAGGCAGGAGAGACAAGGTGTCCCAAAAGTCTTAGTGCAGCTTAAACGTCCTTGGATACACCCTGTGGGTTTCATTTCTTTTCCCAGAATGTAAGTGCCAAAAGGTCAGAGGCGGTTCCTACCTCCGGCAGGCGCCTAATAAGTGATCTTCGGGTGGGGGCGGGGCCGGGGTTGACCCGGGTCTCGGAAGGACGTGGGTGGGGAGGGGAGGGGAAGCCGGAGAGCTCGAGCCGGCTGGGCCGGGTGGGCGCTGATGGGCTCTGCGCGCGCACGCCTGCGCAGGCGGGGTGGTGGGCAGCCTCATCGTGGGGCCTCGGCGGCGGCGGCGGCAGCTGTAGCAGTAGTAGTAGCTGCTGGGCGGCAGTGGCGGCGGCGTGTCGGGGCGGGCCGGGCGGCTCGGCGGCTCGGCGGCTGAGCTCGCTGGCCCCGCCGGGCGGGCCCGGCCGGGCGGAGAGCCGGTAGAACGCGCGGGCCCTAGGCGGAGGTGTGGCGGCTGGCGAGGAGGGGGCGCTAACGGGTTTGGGGAAATCACCGTTCTCCCTTGTCTCTCCGGCCCATAGGTCCTGACAGCTGGGGGGCGGCGGGCGGCCCCTGGGGAAGGCTCCCCCTAGCGGCAGGGCCCTGCACTGACTGCCCTCCGGGTGGGGATCCCCCACATACACCCCCCATCCGGGAGCGCCGAGCTGCCTTCCTCACAAAGTGCTCCCTCGGCCCCTGCCCTTTGTCCACCCGCCCCCAGTGGGGCTCTCTCCCCTAGATGTCTGTCCAGCCCGCCCTTCAGTCGTATCTGCCTCCCTGCCCTTTGCCCTCCCCCCTCCCCGTGCACTTCCCGTCCTAGCACTCCCAGTGGGGATCCCACACATTAAACCTCCATCCGGCTGCCTTGAGCTCCCTTTCTGACCCTTGGTTGCTCACATTCTTGTCTTTTGGCTCCTCCCATTCACCCCCTCCACCAGCCTTATAAATTCCCCCGTCTCAGCACCCTCAGTGGGGTTCACACGATGTACCTCACTCCCACTCCCCAATTCAGGTCTGTTGGGCTGCCTTCCTGACACTTTGATCTCCAGGCCTTGGTGTCCCCCTCTATCCCCCAGTACTCTCCCAATCCCAGCTGTCTCAATGGTGATCCCATACACACTTTTCCATCCAGGTACCTAGAGCTGCCTTCTTGATCCTTTGCTTCATTCTGCCTGGTTCTCACAGCATGGACTTTCACCTACCCGCAGCTTCCCTGACTTTGTCCATCCATCTATACTCCTCCATCCAATGCCCCAGTGGGGACGGGACACCACCTCATGTTCTTCTGTCCAAGTGACTGGTCACTGCCCTGGGGGGTATCTCTAAGGCCTCTTGATTTTTTTATTCCTTCCCTTTTGAAGTGACCCTTTTCCTTCTTTACCTACTTATTACTCCAGCCCAACCCCCCTTACTGAACTGAGATATCCTCAAACTTCTGCTTCATCCCTTTCCATCTGAGATTCACCCCCTCTCACATTCTGTCCTGGATTTTTAGATGTTTTTACCTTATTGACAAATTGGGATGGGGGGGGTGGAAGAGAAACAGCTTTCTCACATCTGATGTACTGATTCTTGGTTTAGAAGAGATGGACACTTCCTGCCCCGAGAGGTACCTTTGACCTTTTATCTCACATACCCCCTTCCATCCTGCCTTCTTGGTTTCACCTTCCCCTGATTTACAGAGGCTCATTCTTTGTCTACTGATCTCTCCCTTTTGCTTTCTCTGAGTACTTCTTGTTAGAAGCAGGACCAGGGTAGGCAAGGTAAGCAACCACCTAGAAGGGGCAGGAGGGGAAAGGGACATGAGAGAGGACACTTTTAATATTGATAGTTATTTTTATAAATGCCAAATATTTCTGTTCTTTGTGGCACAGGTGCATTAATTTTGTAATAAGTCATGTGAAAGCTCAAAGTGTCCAGTGAGTAGTTTGGGAAGCCTTCCCTAGGGTATACAAATGCCTCATTTTTAGCTTTGCTTCTTACCTCCACTCCCCTGAACCCACCTCTTAGGATTCCCATTTTCTGCCCCACCATACCCTCATCCCCATCTAGGATTCCATCTCCCCACAGTGCCTCCATCTCTGCCGAGGGGATGCAGCCCTTCAGCCTGGAGGCGGCCAGGGAAGCAGCACGGGAAGCAGCCCAGAGGGATGTGCTGGCAGCAGATCTCCAGTGCAGCTTCTTTGCCTCTGCCCTGCAGAGCTACAAGCGGGACTCTGTACTGAGGCCATTCCCAGCCTCCTATGTTAGCCAGGACAACAAAGACTTTGAGGCCCTGGTGAGTTCTTCTCAACCATTTGTCTCATTTTTTTCTTTTTAAGTGTTGTATTTATTTAATTCTTTTTAAACATTACTGTTACTTCCCTCCCTCTATAGAACTCTCCCTTTTAACAAATAAGCAGCCAAGCAAAACAAACTCATCTACCATGTCTGAAAACCTATGTCTCATTCTACACCTATTCTGTTTAGTTCCTGTGTAATCTTGAGCCCATTACTTAACTTCCCTAGGCCTCATGTTCCACAACCATAAAATGAGGGGGGTGGACTAGGTGGCTTCTGGGATCCCTTCAAGCTCTAAATCAGTGATCCAGTGAAGCTACTTGTCAAAAGGCTGGAGGCACAGTTACCTCATTAATCATCGTTCTTAAGTTTTTCAGTGTTGTTTTCCCTTTGTGATCACCATGTAAAATTATTGTGTCTGCTTGCTTTGATTTATATTGGTTCATACAAGTCTTAGCAATTCTCTGAATTCTTTGTAGTCATAATTTCTTATAACACCACATGAATACAATCTATTATATTCATATATTACAATTTATTTAGTTATTTTCCAATTACTGACCTTCCACTTGTCTTCTACCCAAATACTGGTGCCCTCTCTCTGTAAACTATCTTGTATTTTTCTTTTATATTCTGTATATAATAGTTACTTATATATGTACATGTTGTCTACCTGAATAGAATGTGAGCTGCTTGAAAGCAGGGACTGTTTCATTTCTTTTGTTTTTATATCCTAGACGCAAAGCAGTCTCATAATAAATACTTGTTGATCGGTTGTTTGCTGATACAAAAAGTGCTTCTGTAAGTTGTTGTGTATAGGACTTTTCCTTGGTCTGACTTGACTTCCTTGGGGTGTATGTCTAGAAGTAGTATCACTAGATCAAAGGGTATGTACAGTTTAGTGACTTTTTTATAATTCTGAATAGTTTTCCAGAGAGGTTAGAGCAATTCACAGGTCTATCAACAGTTTATTAATGTGCCTGTCTTCCCACAGTCTATCCAACTTTTACCATTTTCAGCTTCTGTTATCCTCTTTTCTGAGGAAAGTTCAAAGCTGTTATATTCTGTTTGCTTCTGTACCTGGGCTGTGGATCAAGTCCAGTTGCCCTGGCAGGCTGTGGAAGGTGAAAGAGGCAGATGTGTTTATTACTCCAGGTCCCATCAGTAAATAATCTGGCCACCAAATTTCTATTCCAGACCCATGCTCTCATTGGATAATTTTCATGAGATAAATATATTTTCTCCTCAAGATCCACTATTACAGCACATACTTAGATGTTTTAGGTTGTTAATGACACATTACATACTGCAAATTACCTAGTAGAGAATTAAAAAAAACAACATGGTACAGCAAATGTTTCTAGGTTAGTCGTGGAGTAAGAAGTTCTGCTTAATCAGCTATTGTGATGAATAGAAAATGACTATACTTGCATTACCAGTTTACAAGAATGAAAGTCACATTTAACATAATCTTTCTTTGATGATTTAGAAGGTAGTATGACAAAGTAGATAGTCCTGTGTTTGTATCCTGCCTCTTATACTAACTGTGTGCATCTTGAGGCCTGCACATATTCTGTTCCCTATTCGTGGAATGTATTTCCTCCTCACAGCCTTCAAGACACGGCTCAAGTACCACATGAAGCTTTTCCTGATCCTCCAGCTGCTAGTTAGTGATCCCTTTTAAGTGATCTTGTTTGGACTACTTTGTGTTATATTTGTATTTATTCTCCTTACATTTATTTTAAATAAGTTTATAGGGTGGCCCAAAAGTCTTAATGCAGTTTTAAGCTTTAATAACTTTAAAAGTATTTACAGAATTTTTTGAAAGGTTGATTATTTAAAATGTTGAATATGTTTCATATAAAAATTGTGCATAACCACCATTTATGCTGTTCATTGCTCAAGTTGATTTTCTAACTTTGTAAACATTTTTATCAACTGCTGTTCAGTGACTGAAAGGATTGAATTTGTAATTCTAGTCTTAAGAACATCCAAAGAACAAGGTTTTGATGCATATACAACAATTCTGACATTTCCCCACAAGAAAAAGTCTAATGGAGGTAGACCAAGTGACCACGGTGACCAAGCAAAAGGACCTCTTCTACTAGTCTACCAGTCAGAGAATATGTCGTATAGAAATAGTCATATATGCAGTGCATGATAACCGGGTGCCCCGTGGTGTAAAAGCTTAAACATTATTCAGAATCTACAAAACTAAATATAAAATAAATTAAAATGATTAAACTTTCAAATGATGGGTTTTTTTATGTTTGTAGCATTTATACTTATGAAATTATGAATGCTTAACATTGCACCAAGACTTTTGGCACACTATCTCTTGGTATTTCTCCCATTAGATTGTAAGCTCTTTTTGAGTAGGGATTGTTTCATTCATTGTATCTGTATCCCCAGTACTTAACATAGGGCCTAACACACAGGAGATACTTAATAAATACTTGTTAATTTGATTGACCTTGGCCAATCTCTGGGCCTCAACTTTCTCATCTATAAGGATATAATACCCATATTATCTACCTCAGGGTTATTGTGAAGTTCAAATAAAATAGTGTATGTAAAGCAGTTTATAGTCATTAAAGGTACAGTATAAACGTCAGCTATCAAGGCATTGCAGAGTCTGGTAGTTTCTTTTTTTTTTTGAATGAATAAATGAAAAAGCATTTATTAAGCACCAACTATGGGCAAAGTTCTGAATTTTGTCTACAATGTTCCCAAGAGTTTTCTTTTTTTTTTGAAATTTTAATATAAATTTATTTATTTTTAGTTTTCAACATTCCCTTCCACAAGTTTTTGAGTTCCAAATTTTCACCCCATCTCCCCCCTTCCCCCACCCCAAGATGTCATGCATTCTGAATATCCCTTCCCCTACTCTGTCCTCTCTTCTATCTCTCTCCCCTTCTCTTATCCCCTTCCCCTTCTATTTTCCTGTAGGGCAGGATAGACTTCTGTACCCCGTCTTCTGTGTTTCTTATTTCCCAGTAGCATGTGAAAACATTTTTTTAAACATATGTTTTTAAAACTTTAGGTTTCACATTTTCTCTCTTCCTCCCTCCCCACCCACCCTCATTGAAAAGGCAAGCAACTCAATATAAGTTGTACATGTGCAGTTATGCAAAACATATCCATAGTAGACATGTTGTGAAAAACTAACTCTATTTCCCTTAATCCTATCCTGCCCTCCCATTTATTCTATTCTTTCTTTTGACCCTGTCTCTCCTCAGAAGTATTTACTTCTGATTAACCCCTTTCCCAATCTGCCCTCCTCTCTATCATCCCCCTGCTCTCTTGTCTCCTTCCCCCTATTTTCCTGTAGGGTAAGACAGATTTCCATACCCAATTGAATGTGTATGTTATTCCCTCCTTAAGCCAAATCCTATGAGAATAAGATTCACTCATTCCCTCTCACCTTCCCCTGTTTCCCCTTCCACTGTAAGAGACTTTTCTTTTGTTTTTTTTGTGAGATAATTTACCCCATTCTACCTCTCCCTTTCTTCTTCTCCGAGTATAATCCTCTCTCATCCCTTAATTTTATTCTCCAGATATGACCCCTTAATCTTCAGCTCACCCTGTGCCCTATCTATCTATCTACATATACATACATATAATTTTTTTCCTCCAACTACCCTGATACTGACAAAGGTCTCATGAGTTATAAATATCATCTTTCCATGCAGGAATGTAAACAGTTCAATCTTAATAAGTCTCTTATGATTTCTCTTTCCTGTTTACCTCTTCATGTTCCACTTGAGTCCTGTATTTGAAAGTCAAATTTTCTATTCAGCTCTGGTCTTTTCATCAAGAATGCTTGAAAGTCCTCTATTTCACTGAATGACCATTTTTTCCCCTGAAGGATTATACTCAGTTTTGCTGGGTAGGTGATTCTTGGTTGTAATCCTATCTCCTTTGCCCTCCAGAATATTATATTCCATGCCCTGTGGTCCTTTAATGTAGAAGCTGCTAAATCTTGTGTTATCCTGATTGTGTTTCCACAGTACTTGAACTGTTTCCTTCTGGCAGCTTGTAATATTTTCTCCTTGACCTGGGAACTCTGGAATTTGGCTACAATATTCCTAGGAGTTTTCCTTTGGGGATCTCTTTCAGGAGGAGATCTGTGGATTCTTTCAATTTCTATTTTGCCCTCTGGTTCTACTATATCAGGGCAGTTTTCCTTGATAATTTCTTGAAAGATGATGTCTAGGCTCTTTTTTTGATCATGGCTTTCAGATAGTCCAATAATTTTTAAATTCTCTCTCCTGGATCTATTTTCCAGGTCAGTTGTTTTTCCAATGAGATATTTCACATTGTTTTCTAATTTTTCATTCTTTTGGATTTGTTCTACTGTGTCGTGATTTCTCATAAAGTCACTATCTTCCAATTGCTCTATTCTAATTTTTAAGGAAGTATTTTCTTCAGTAAGCTTTTGGACTTCCTTTTCCATTTGGCCAATTTTTCTTTTTGGGGCATTTTTCTCCTCATTGGCTTTTTGGACCTCTTTTGCCATTTGGGTTAGGCTATTTTTTAAGGTGTTATTTTCTTCAGTATTTTTTTGGGTCTCCTTTAGCATCACTCTCAGTTTTTCCTCTACTTCTCTAACTTGCTTCTCAAAATCGTTTTTGAGCTCTTCCATGGCCTGGGACCAATTCATATTTTTCTTGGAGGCTTTGGATGTAGGGGCTTTGACTTTGTTGTCTTCTTCTGGTTGTATATTTTGGTCTTCTTTTTCACCAAGTAAGATAATATGTCTGACTCTTTTTGCGCTGCTTGCTCATGATCCCGGCCAATTACTTGAGTTTTAAACTCTTTGTTAAGGTACGAATCTGTTTCCAATGTGGAGAATGTACTGTCCCAAGCTTCGGAGGTTTGTACAGCTGTTTTCAGAGATGCTTGTAGGGACCTGTAAATTTTCAGTTCTTCCAAGGTGGTATGATAAGGGGCAAGGTGTTTACTCCTTTCCTGGCCTGCGACTACAAGTACTCCTTTCTGTCCTGTAACTGTGATGAGGGGCTCCTCTCCACAACCACTACAAGCTCCACCAAGCCAGCGTTCCTCCTCACCCCAGCACCGCTGCCCAGAACTGTGGCCCAGATCCAAACACAGGCAAAGCAAGAGATTCCTGCCTCGGCAGTGGCAGAGAGATCCCTGCGATCCCTGTCTGATCAGCCACTGGATTCCCCCTCAGTCTGTGGGCCGGAAGCTTGGGAAGCAGCTGCCCCACCACAGGGCCACACTCTTGGGGAATGGAGCTGAAACCCTGCCTTCCTTTCTCAGGCACAGACAGAAACAGACTTTTCCCACTGACCTTCTAATTTGTCTTTGGCATTGGTGGATTGAGGAGTCTGGAAACCTCCTCAGCTGCCCGAGATTCAGTCCTCTGAGGCCTGCTCCAGGTTTGCTGCAGCCTGCATGCCCACGCTGCACTGCACTGTGCTCCCAGCCTGGCACGATACACCTTTCTGATCAATCATCCAGGTTGTGTTGGGCTGGAAATTTGTTTCACTCTGTCTTTTTGTGGGTTCTGCTGCTTCAGAATTTGTTTAGAGCCATTTTTTATGAGTATTTGGAGGGATTTGGAGGAGAACTCAAGCAAGTCACTGCTTTCACTCTGCCATCTTGGCTCTGCCCCCCAGTCTTGTAGTTTCTTAAGAATATCATTCTAAATATGCTTTGCTGTAGTGTTACATTGCAGATGTTTATAAGTACCTGGGATATATGTGGTCCAAGACTATATCTCATCTGTTGGTGAATCTTTGTATCCCCTTTATTGCCTGCCACTCACGCTAGGTCCTCTTCCTAGTGGGGAGAATTCTCATAGCAAAAGACTGTGACTTTTAGGTGGAACTGCATTGAAATCCCACCTGGTCCTTGTTCAGCACACACAAGTACACAGGTAAGCCACATACTACAATGTGGGGGACTTTTAGGATACAGATTACATATAATTGCAGGGTTGTAGATACAGTTCATGTTATTCAGTTAATTTGACTTGGGTTAAGAGTGGAGAATCACCTTGAGGGAAGGCACAGATTTCAAGTTTCAGAGTATCAAATGGGCCTTTCTAGACGTAACTTATCCTTGTTCCCACTTGGTCCAAAGCCCTTTTGGTCCTGAGGTTTTGGATAATAATAATAATAATAATAATAATAACTAACATTTTTTTTGGAGGGGGTGGGAGTTGGGTTAAGTGACTTGCCCAGGCTCACACAGCTAGTAAGTGTCACGTGCCTGAGGTCAGATCTGAACTCAGGTCCTCCTGACTCCAGGGCTCTGGTGCTCTATCCACTGCGCCATCTAGCTTCCCCAATAACTGACATTTTAAAGTCTGAAAAGTACTTTACATATTTTCAATATGAAGTTCTCAGCAACTTGTAGGTACTTAAGTTACTATCCTCCTTTTGTAGGTAAGTAAGAGACTGAAGCTCAGAAAAGTGAAATGTCTTGCCCTTTGTCACACAGCTAGTAAATAGCAGAGATAGGGTTGGAATTCAGGCCTTCCTGACTACCCAGTCCAACACACTGCCCATGGTGTGGGTATTGTAATTTATGCCTAGTTTACTCTAGTTTCACCCTCTGGGTCCTTGGAAGAGTATTTTTTTTCCCCAGTTTTTGACCTTTCTCTAACTTTTGTCATTATCCTTTCTCTAGACATCCGCTAGGATGTCACTTTTTCTGTATGGATCAAATCAAAATGGACAAGTATAATAGTATTAATGATTAGCACTATTTTAGACTCTTAAGAGCTGATAGGGAGGCTTTTAGATATCATTTAGTTCAGCCTCACATTGAATGTAGGGACCCTATTTTTCCAGTATTCCTGATAAAAATAATCTACAAAGAATGGGTTATTTTCCTGGCCTATGAGAGAGCAGCATGGTAAGTTTGTAAGGAAAGCAGTTTTTTTGGGTGGAATCGAGAGGTGAACTACATGGCAGATTATATTATTCTATTTTTTGAGAGACAGGGCAACCTATAATTGTGTGTGATAGTTCTTTATTTCCTATCCTCAATTTGGTCAGAAGGAAAATTTGTAATTAGCTAAGCAATTAAGTAGGAATGCAGGCAGAACACCTAAAACACCATTGGTAAAATCAGGAGGCTTCTTAATTGGTTGAGACTCAGTTTAGGATTGTAGAACAGAGAATAAGCTCCATCAGCATTGCCCAGTTTGTGTTGGGGATTTTTGGGGAGAAGATGACAGTCTTAAGGTAGACAAGAATGGTGGCAGAACAATATAGGGACTCTAGATGACCTGGACCAGCCACTTCCATAGCCCATCCTGCCATTGGGTGGCAGGAAAACAGACCAACGTGCCTGGGGCCACAGACTGTTCCCTTCCTCAGCCAACAGAGGTGCAGGATGTTCGCTGTCAGCTGGATTTTGACTCCTAGCTCTCTGCCTCTGCTGGCAGTATCTCAGGGTCCTGAACACCACACCTAACAGCCTGTAGTCCACTACCTTCTTGATGTTGTTGTTCAGTCTTTCTAACTGGCTTGCAGTCTGCCTGAGTTTTTGAAATTCTTTAGAGACGTCCCACCACAACTCAACTGGCCCTCATCACTTGGTAAGTGCTTTTCTATTCCATAAGGTTGAGAAGTTTGGGTACTTTTAATTTTGGAATTCAGTAGTTTAATATACAGTTTTAAAATTTACCTAGAGTGACTCCAGGGAAAGAATACATCCCAGATACTCATGCTCTGCCCTATAGATCCCATATGCCATGATGCCACAGAAGAGGTGAAGGCAATTTGACTTTCAGGGAGCTAGGACTCTAGCATGTGAAAGTGAAACTGTATGTGGGGCTTCCAGAGTGCCTTCCAGGGATGTAAATTCCATTGCATTGGAGCAGGCCTCCCCACCTCTTTTGTTCTTGGATGACTGGTTCTTCCAGCCTTTGCTGAGAAGACATAAAAAATGGGGACACAGCCTTCAGGGCTTCACACTTACCTTTGGAAGAGTTCATCCTGCTGTTGAGAGAGTGGTGCAGTTTGGAACTATACAATGGAGTGCTGTACTCCACCATAACTGATCAGACCTAGGGTACTGAAAGGAGTTGGTATACTACACTTTGCTGCAAATACTTGCAGAATCTAATTGAATTGGACATATTCTTGTTTTTTGTCCTGTTTCTTCCTTTCCATGAACTGAGTCCATAGCCTCTGCTTTCAGATCCGTAATTTACCTTTTTTTACAATGAATTTTTTTTTTAGTTATTGTAGCTGTTTTCAGTGACTTTTTAGGAAATGGAAGTATTTTTTCGAGATGCTGATCAGAGGATTGCTATATGTTACAGAGCTCACTGTGGTTTTATTAGCTTGAGCTACTTTTGAAAATTTCCAGGCGTTTCATACTCTATGTTGTCCCACACATCCTCTTAACTTTCTTATGAGGGACAATGAGAACATGCTGTTCGTTTTTCAGATTTGAGTAACTGAAGGACAGAGCCAAGGTCCTTCAGCCAGTGTACTTGACAGAGAGAGGAGCTCGGTCTCCTGGTGTCTCTAGAGTGGGCCGTACAGCAGCAAATTCCCAAATCAAAATTTTTTTTTTCTAATTTAGTTGGCAGTTATACCACAAAATTGTTATATCGGAAAGAGGACTGTATTAGGAGTCAAATGATATGAGTTCTGATCTTGGCTGTGCCACCTGTGTGACCTTGGAAAAGTTTCAAAATTGCTTCTCTCTGAACCTTGGCATTTTTAATTCTAAAATGAGGGAATTGGACTTGATCAGGAATTCTTAACTTGGAGTCTGTGAGCTTATTTTAAAAAATTTTAATTATACTTGGATATAGCTGATTTCCTTTGTAATTATATATCCTTTTTTATGCATTTAATAACATTGTCCTGAGGAGTGCATAGACTTCAGCAGACTACTAAAAAGGTCCAAGAAACAAAAAAAAGCTTAAGAACTGCCAAACTAAATGCTCTCTTTCAAATCTAGAGTTCTGTGATTTGGAGACTTTGTTTTGACCATCATGGTCATTTAGGGTTTTGCTTTATGGTGGTACCCTCTTTTCTTGTTTCTTTCAGATCTTGGAGGAAACCCTTGATTTTTTGGTTCTTGGAATGGCATTTCTTCCTCTATTACCATCTTCTCTTTTTCTCTGACCTATTAGCCTTTAGTACCTCTTCAAGATTCAGTCTTTGATCATTTGTACGTCTGCATTCGTATTCATTTCCGTCTAGTATTCATCTACTTGAATAGTGTGGTAAATCCAACTTTTGTAAAATGAATCATCTCTAATTTTGGTAAACTGTAATTTTTACATGCTGTATTTGCTTTTAAGCTAGGCATAGATATATGATCATCAAATCTATGTCTCCAGTTTTGATCTGTCACAGGTGTTTCCAGTTGAATGTCCCAACAACCCCTGAATTTAATCTTCTTCCTCAAATTTCCTGTATTAAGGGATCAAGAAGAGAATGAGGAACCAGAGAATGAGTAAGTTAGAGAGGTAGGAGAACCAGGAAAGAGCCAGGTTATCTGTGAAGCCAAGGAAAGGGAGTATTAGGAGGAGAGGCTGTGATCTATAGTCAAAACCTGTGGAGAAGGCAAGGAGGATGAGGTCTTTAAAAAGGCTATTGGATTTGGTATCTTTAAAGAGAACAGTTTTAGCAGAATAGTTAGGGCAACAATCTTATCACAAGAGTTTGGTGGGGGGGGGATGGGGACATTTGATAAAGTTGTCTTTTTCAAAAAGTTTGGTGGTATGGATGGGGAATAGTGGTGGTGGTGCAGAGAGGAAGTAGTAAGGAGCCAGATAAAACAGAATAACCCTTGGAAGTAAGTGCCATTATTATCCTCATTTTATAGGGCTGAGACTCAGAGAAGTTCTGGTCATTTAACTAGTAATTGTCTTAGGTGGGATTTGAACTTAGATCTTCCTGACCCCAAATCCAGCCCTGCCTCAAATGTCCTCCCCCATTGTCTTAGTCAGTAAAAACTATCCATCCTTCAAGATCCAGGTCAAAGCACATTCTTTATGGTCTTCTCTTCCTAAAATGATTTATCTTTCTAAAGTTCTCTTATTGTTCACATGATTAATTTTACAGTTGATTATATAAATCCCTTGTGATATCTATTACTGTCTTGAATTATGACTTAAATCTGGTAGAGGTAATTAATTTTTTGTGTGAGTTATGCTTAACTAGATTGGAAGTGCTTAGATTGCCTTTTGCATTCCCTTCAGAGTTAGCACAGTGCCTAGAATGTGTTCAGTGGCACCCTCTCCCATCTCTAGATAGCCTTTAACAGCCGGTATTATCCTTTGTACCACAACTTTATGCCTTACTTTGCTGTCTGCCTTTTGCTGCCTCTGACATACCATTCGTGTGTCTCAGAACCATTGCACATACCATCTCTCTGTTTCAGTATTGCCTTATACTTAGGCATGCATCTACCTGCCATGTGATTTGTGGTGTGACTATACTATCATACAGGGGAATTGAAACAATTTCCCTGTTCTTACAGTCATCTGCTCTTTAAAAAAAATTATATGTTGTGAACCTAGCAGTCTATCCAGTTAGCACTAGAAATATTTCCCATGGCAATATGTTATTTTCATATATTTATTATTGTGGGGTGTCAGAAGGTCCTAATGCCCCCAAAATACCTTCCTTACTGGTTTTACATCCTTCTTGAAATATACTATTAAAAAAAGACTCCTTTCAGCTCTATCTTCACATAGTAAAATCTGACTGGCCTTTTAGAGCTGAACTTAAATGCCGTCTTCTCATGAAGTTTTCCCTTATTTTTCTCTCCCCATCCCATGCCACCTCCTGGTAGAATTGCTCCTTTTTTCTGAACTCGAAGAGTTCTTTGTACGTTAATTATGTCATTTGTCACATTCCTACACAGCATGTAGTTATTTGTGTACGTGTCTTATCTCCCTACTGAATTGTAAGTTTCAGAAGGGGTGGGAACTGAGCACCTTACATAATATTTTATAGTTCCATACACACAGTAGGCCTTTAGTAAATATTTGTTTAACTTAATAGACCTGTAGTGGATAAGGAAAATCTGGCTAGCCAGAGGGTAAAACAGGATAGATCTAAATGCAACCAAACTTTTATATTAAAGGGAACAGTCTCATATGTATTTAAAATTTGCTTGCCTTCATATATTGGAGACTTCCCTATTCTTGTTCTAGAGATCCTGTGATGAATATATTTTAACTTTGGGAGGTGGAGAAAGCCTTCATCTAGGGACCAAACTGCAAGATGTTAAGGAGGGATTTAATGCATCTTCTATTGGTACATTGTCTTGATTGAATTAATCCAGGACAAGACTACAAATGGTTAACTGAAATACTAACTCATGTACTGGCTGACACACATTGGGAACTACAAGATATAAACAAGATGGATGGGCTGGACAGTGTGTATATAATTTTGTTTCTGCAGCCTGAAGCATTAGCTACATGGCACTCACTACTCACCACAAATATTAGAAACCTCAAATTATAAAACCACAGATCAGGAGATTGCACTCTAGCCTGTGAACTATTCCTGCACAAGAAAGGCACAGAACAAGAGTCAGAGGTGAGGCTTTGATCCCCAAGTTGAATTCTGAAGGGGATACAGCAACAGAAATGGTGAGTGATGGATGATAGGAGTCTTCTGACTTTTTTCATTACATTAAGTCCTTTCTTTCAAAACTATTCAGAACCCTCACCTTCTTTGAAAGCCCACCTGTAGTCTATTTGATAGAATACTTGGTTATGTTTCTGTTACTGGCGTTTTGGCAATATGATGTTTTCATGATTCACTCGTCTCTTTGTGTTGATCAGTATTCAGTCATTTATCAAATAGCTACTATAAGTAGAACATTAATTAGATGCTGTGGTTAGTACAAAATTATAAGGCAGTCTAGGGGCTCCTCAAGGTGCCTGTGATGAAATTGGGAGATATGTCTAACAGTACTAAGTAATATAGGCTAAGTGTGAAATGAGTGGTACCAACAGGGGCTGAAGGAGTTCTGGGGAGGGAGAAATCAATGGGGGATGCTTATGGAATTCTTCACACAGAAGATGGGATTTGGATAGGGCTTTGAAGGACAGAACAATTTGGATAGATGGGGAGAGAGAAGTAAGCATTTCAAGTGAGGATGAATAAAGTGAGCAAAGGCATATAGGCAGAAAAACACTAATCATATTTGGAGAGAGTGAATAGAATGTATTTATGTATGCACATACAGTTTTTGTTTATTCTGTAGTCTTAAGATTGTAGATTCCGGGGACAGCTAGGTGGTGCAGTGGATAGAGCACTAGCCCTGGAGTCAGGAGGACCTAAGGTCAAATCAGGCCTCAGACACCTGACACTTACTAGCTGTGTGACTCTGGGCAAGTCACTTAACCCCATTGCCTAGGAGAAAACAAAATAAAATAAAAGATTGTAAATTCCTTAAGGACAGAGGACAGCCCTCATCAGTCTGTTTCTGTCCTCACGTAATCTAATATAGAACTTTGCTTATTAAACATGTGCTGTTGATTGCCTGTTTCCAAAGTTTAATTATAATGATGTTATATTTATATAACACTTTAAGAATTATGACACTCTTCACAATAGAGCTGTAAGATAGGGAGAAAGAAATGAATGACAAATTCTAAAATGTTCATAGTTTTCAATATTAGAGACCTAAGAACCAAGGAAAACCCCTTTTTACAGTTTTCATTCTTAATGAAATTAGCTTATTGAAAAAGTGGAATAGAATCAATAGGTAAATATTTACTGATCACTTAGTATGGACAAAGTATTAGGGGAATGCAAAGGTATAAGATATAGTTACTGATTTCAAGAAATTTAAAATATCGGTAGAGAAAGAATACTAACAGGAACAGAAAAAATATTAAACAATACAAAACAACATGTGATGAAGATAATAATAGGGTCATGGTACCTTAGATGCTATCTAATCAACCCCCTCATTTTACAGATGAGGAAACTGAGGCTCCAAAAGTTCAAGTGATTTATTACTACTATACCAGTAGTAATAAGTGACAGAGGTAGTATTTGAACCCAAACCTTCTGGCTCCAAGTTCAGTATTTTTCACTCTATACCACACTGTCTCTGTTAGTATCAAGTAGTATTACAGAAATAAATGTAAAGGAATTCAGAAAAGAGATCACTGAGGCCTTGGGGTGAGAAGTAGCCAAGGAAACTTCATGGAGGAAGTGGAATTTGGGCTTGACTTGGAAGGGAATGCAAGAATTGGGTCTTCAGTGAGGAGGTGGGGACAGTCTGAGCAAAGACAGGGTTGGAAAAGCACAAGGTATATATGTAGGAGACAGCATTCCGTCTAGAGTAGAGGCTAGGTCTAGGGAAATGGTGGGAGAAAAAAATGGGAAAGGTATTTGAGTTATGATGCCAGGCTAAGGAGTTTGGACCCTAGCCAACTGCTCCCTCTTAGCAAAAGGCATTGAAAACTACTGATGGTTTTTATTCCTTTTGGGAAAATAATTTTGACGTGAGAAATGAAATTTTGTTTCATTGCCACTAGAGGTCTCCCTGTTGTCATGTTTCCTGAGCTATATTCCTTAAAAAGAATAACCCCAGTTTTCTTTAGCTTGAAGATGCCAGTATGCTGCCAAACCTGAAGGAACTTCTCCAGTCTGCAGATGACAAAGATAAAAGGGCATGGAATCTGGTGAGCTGGATTTTATCATCAAAGATTCTTACACTACACAGCATAGGGAAAACAGAGGTAAGATTTTAGTATTTAGAATGACGGATTTCTAGAGCTGAAAGGGACCTTTAAAGATCACCTCATTCAATTCTTTCATTTTATAGGTGAAGGAAACAGAGCCTTAAAGAGGTTAAGGGATTTGTGCAATGTCACACAATTACTTAGTGGTAGAGGTGGGATTAAAAGACTAAGATTTTAGACTCCTTGCCTCTATATTTAGTCTTCTAGACTTCTTTTAGGGAGGTACCATGTCTTCCCCCTGTTCAGTAAAGTCCAGTGGCTCCCTGTCATCTCCAGGATCAAATATAAAATCCTCTGTTTGGTGTCCATAGTCCTTTATAACTGGGCCCCTCCCTCTCTCTCCTGTCTTCTTACGTGTTATACCACCCCATGATGTGCTGTGTGATCTAGTGACACTGGCTTCGTTGCTGCTCCTCACATGAGACATTCTATCTCCCAATTCTGGATATTTTCTCTCACTGCCTCCCATGCCTGGAATGCTTTGTCTCCTCGTCTCTGCCTCCTGGTTGACTTGGCTTCCTTCAAGTCCCAGCTAAAATCTCACCTTCTGTTGGAGATCCTTCCTGATCCCTCTTAATTCTAGTGCCTTCCTCTGTTGATTATTTCCAATTTATCCTGTATAAAGCTTATTTCTATATATGTAGTTGTTTACAATGTTGTCTTCTCCATTAGACTCTGAGCAGCTGGAGAGTGCAGATTGCCTTCTACCTTTGTGTTACCAGTGCTCAGCAGAGTGCCTGGCACATAGTAGGTTCTTATTAAGTTGACTGTATAGTTATTCTGTTCAACTTGGAGTCATTTAAGAAGACTGAAATTTGATGGCTGTGTCCATACTTACTAACTGGGTGACCATGAACAAGTCAGCGTACTTCTCTGAGCCTCAGGTTCCTACCTCACAGAGTTGTTGTATTGCTCAGTTGTGATAACATATGTAAAGCACTTTGGAAACCTTGAAGCCCTATGTAAGTGAAGTTAAATAAGCTTTTATTAAGGGTTTACTAAGTGGATTAAAAATAGAAGCAAAAAGAAAGACTATCCCTTCCCTCCAGGAGCTTATATTCTAATGGTGAAAGAAAACACATGAAAAGGAGCTAGAAAGGCTAGCTGGAGAAGTCAAGAGAGCCCGAGACAGTGGAGCCAGGGCAGGAGAAAAGGAGTGAGCATAGCCTCCTGGGCACATCCTCAAAATAGAGGTTCGAGGAAGAATTCAAGAAGAGTTGCTGCTGGGGCATAGTAGAGAAATGCCAGCTGTTCTTATTCTCACTTAGATGCATCTAGATCAACCCCCTCATTTTACAGATGAGGAAACTGAGGCTCCAAAAGGTTAAGTTATCTATTACTACTATATAATAAGCGACAGAGATAGTGTTTGCACCCAAATCTTCTGGCTCCAAATTCAGTACTTTTCCCCTTATACCACACTGTCTCTTGTTAGTATCAAATAGTATTACAGAAATAAATGTAAAGGATTGTAATCTCATTTCTTCTGCTACACAGAGCTGCTTTGAATGGGTGCAAAAGTTTCTCTTCACACAACATTATAAAGTGCTTGATTAATTCTAGTTTAAGAATATAAAATGTTGCAAAGACTCTATTGAAAGACAGGCATCTTTCACAATTGGAGTAGAAACTTGGACAATATTTCTAATGTTGGCTACTGCTATAATGGAAAAGAACACTGGACTAGTTATTAGGAGACCTTGGTTTTAGTCCTGGCTCTGCCGCTATCTGGCGTCATGATCTTTGGCAAATGACTTAATTTCTCTAGGCCTTAGTTTCTTCATTTCTCAAATTGAGACAATATTGCCTATCATCCATACCTTAGAGAATAGTATTGAAGATCAAATGAGGTAATAAAAATAAAAATCCTTTGAAAGTTAGAAGTGCTATACATTGTAACATGTTATTAACATTTCTTTAGTTCATTTTTTTTCTGGCAGACTGGGTAATTAGGGAAAAGAAATCTTGAAATGGTAGCTTTTAATTCTTTTTTTTCGAGGTTGATGTATTTATTTTGATGAAAACACGTTCTTATGTATAAATTCCAATACAGTTTAAAATAAGGGGAGTTGTGACAGTATTTGTTTTGTAATACATTTTGATAGCTTCCCAAATAACACTGAAAATTCCTTTATATTTTTAAGTATGTGAAGATCCAAGAACTCATGGGAATTTCAGGCACTAGTGTCCCTGCACCTGACTTTCTGTTTGAAATAGTGTATTCTGGTCGAGTGGATGCCAAATTTTATGAAACCAAAGGAGAAAGGGATCTCATCTATGCATTCCATGGGAGCCGCCTGGAAAACTTCCATTCCATCCTCCATAATGGTTTACACTGCCACTTAAACAAGGTAAAGCTTTAAGGGGAATTTGAAAATATGGTGGGTTAAAACCATGGCAAGGCCATCAAGGAGAGGGACACACCACCCTGACCAGTGCCAAGGCTGTTGCCATCTTGGATTTCCAGCTCCCTTTTGCTTCCACAGAGGAACCACCTGTCTGCTTCTAGGGTGGGAGGCTTGCTCTGTCCTGCCCAGGGCCAGAACATTGTTTTTCAGTGGTGAATCTTAATCACTCTTATTACCTACTCCTTGGGGCATTTGCACATTTTAAGCCTTATCTTTTAGTGAGGAATGAAAGACTGTTCTTTGAGGATTTTCAGAGATCAGCCTGATGGGTGGGCTAGATTGGTTACTTTGTTGGGGCTGGAGTGGGAGAAGACCTTCTAGTGCCACTCAGGTTACCTGGTATGCATAAGGATTTTGCATAAGACCAGCCCAGCATACTCTATGCCTAGTCTGAAGCACTGTTTTCCAGAACTCTGCTGTGCCTAATTAATTTGCCATGTTTAGATTGAAGATGAAGAGCTTGTTTACTCTGGAGTCTCAAATGCATAGCCTGTAGCTTTGCTACTGAAATCCAGGTGGCCCCAGCTTTACGTAATAGTTGGGCTCCTGTAAAGTTAAACATACTAAGGGAACTTACTCTTTGAAAGTAAATCCTTTTGGTGAAGTAAGACTCCCCTTGTAACCTGTTTTTTGTCTAAACCTGGATTTTCATTTATCACATTTACCTAAAGGAAGGCCCGTCTCTCGCTCTGATCTGTCACATTATTTTCATGGCAAATGTACCACAAGTTTTCAAATCAGACACAGCTGTGTTGGAGCACAGCAGTCTTGCAAAAAATCTACAATTCTGTGATAGGCGTGGCCATTATAGATTTAGCCCAATAGTGACCGTAGGGTTGTGGAAAAAAAAGATTTGTTTTATCAGCCAGGAAAAATATATGTTGGCTAGGATACGTGAAAGATGGGGAAACTTCTGAATTCAGTAATGAGGATGTGATTGTTAAAACAGTGGCATAATTAACTCTTCTTATAAGCTTTACTGGACAAATGGAAAAGATTCAGGTTCATGAAAAACACACTATCAAAAAGTCAATTTCTAATAAAGGGACATTAATTTCACTCTTTTTAAAAATATTTTTTTCCAATTACATGTAAAAATAATTTTTGACATTTGATTTAAAAAATTTTTTGAGTTCCAAATTTTCTTCCTCCTTGTCTCCCTTTCCCCCTCATTGATAAGGCAGGCAATTTGATATAGGTTACACATGTGCAGTCATACAAAACATATTTCCATATTAGTCATGTTGTGAAAGAAAACACAGACTAAGGGGAAAAAAAACAAGAAAAACAAAGTTAAAAAAAAGTATGCTTCAATATGCATTGAGACTCCATCATTCTTTCTTTGGAGATGGAGAGCATTTTTCATATAAGTCCTTTGGAATTGTCTTGGATCATTGTCTTGATCAGAGTAGCTAAGTCATTCACTTTAATTCCACTTTTATTGCTAATTTGGTATATTTGGGGGTGGGCACATTATTTAGCTTCTCTGAACTTTTTCTTGACTTAACACATACACTAATGGTAACCAACTTCATGGGACTTTTATAAATAATAATAAAAAAAGGTTTAATAATAACTACATGATTGTGAGAGGGATCCTGTTAATTTACTCTTTTGCCAGGAAATGTGGGCCTTAACAGTTTTTGTGAGAGGCCACTTAAAATTATCTTTTAGAGAAAAATGTGTCCTACAACTGTACCACCTTTAGACTTTGATTCAGTTGAGTGTGTCTCTTTTTTATCTGACTCTGCCCTTCTAGACATCCTTGTTTGGTGAAGGGACCTACCTTACCAGTGACTTAAGCCTGGCTCTTCTTTACAGTCCTCATGGTATGGGGTGGCAGCACAGCCTCTTGGGTCCTATCCTAAGTTGTGTGGCATTGTGTGAGATCATCGACCATCCAGATGTCAAGTGCCAAACCAAGAAAAAGGGTAAGCGGACAGCACTGGCCAAAGCTAGGGCCTGTGACTTTGGGCCATCTCCAGACTCTGTGAGAGCCCATAGTAGGCATATCAGTTAGTCTTTAGGTGTTTATGGGATGTTTGCTATGTGCAAGATATAGTGCTAGGTGAGGTGAAAGAAACAAAGAAAAAGATAATATATTCCTTGCCATTGAAGAGTTTAGAGCCTCTTCAGTAGGAAATAAGACATAATACATGGGGAAAAAATAAACAATAATATAGCTAGTCAGTAAGTAATTAGTACAAAAGGTCATAGGTGCTCAGAGGAGAGATTATTGTTGCTTGGGATAGATCAGGGAAGGCTTCTCAAGATAGGTGAAATTTGATGTATGAAGGTGGGTATATGAAGCAGAGAAGCTTCAGGATTTCTCTTGCCAGGCTGCCTAAAAGCTCTAGAGTCCCAAAGACAGCAATGGGAACAGGTTCAGTCCAGGAATTCAGTTGTAAGAAAAACAGTCAGGTAGATAGATTGGATTTAAAACTCTGGGTCATCTACCATACTAAGTGGGCCATTGCATCTCCTCTCACTCTGAGTATTTGTGAACCGTGTTATTGCTCACCCCCAAGATTTCATAGCCATAATATGCCCGTAAATTGCTTCACAAAGCCGGTAATGGATAACGTGTGATCATCCTCTTCTCTGCAAATGAGCCTATTGGGTCTGTTGAGAAAAGAGTACCCAGAAATGCTTTCTGTTCCGTTTCCTTAATCTAAAACAACTGGCATACCAAAGAACAGACCCAAGTCTGACAATACTCACCCAAACCATACAGCACGGAATAGTTGCATTTATAATTCTTGGAGAGATTGTAAACTGTGACAGTTAAACATCAAAACAACCATTTCAGTCTCTACACTCACGCATCCACATCATCTTTTAGCTTTGCAGTGCTGTCAGTAGGCTGGAATTGTTTCAAGGATAGAAAATAAGTAGCTACCCTAGAAAGTTATCACCTTGAGCTGTAATATAAAAATGTCAGTTTTATAGACATCAATTAACAACTATTTATTAAGGTCCTAGTAGGTGCCAGGCCTTGTGCTAAATACTGGGAAGACATAAATAGGATTAAATCAAAACTTTCAGTAGCATTGCAGTTGGGGTAGTGGTGAAAATACTTCTTTTAAATCAAGTTTCCGGGGCAGCTAGGTGGCCCAGTGGATAGAGCACCGACCCTGAAGTCAAGAGGACCTGAGTTCAAATCTGGCCTCAGACCAAACACTTGACACTTATTAGCTGTGTAACCCTGGGCAACTCGCTTAACCCCAGTTGCCTAGCCAAAAAAATAAATAAATAAATAAATCAAGTTGCAGTTTATGGTATCATTGTCATTTTTAGCTCATACTATCTCTTCTGACTTATCTCCATTTCTGTTTTCCCTCTCCCTACCTGTTTATCTCCTTTGGCCCCAACCATAACTGTTCCTATATGTCTTTCTTTTGCTGTTTCCTTATAACGTTCTCTCTCTTTCTCTCTGATAATTTAATTTGATTTTTCAGTTAATAAAAATCTGTTTTCTCTTCTTCTTATCTGTGCCTTCCCCATTTTGAGAGAAAGAGAGAGAACCCTCATAACAAATAGCAAAGCAAAACAAAATCTCACATTAGCCATGTCCAAAAGATATGTCTAATTTCATACTTTGAATCCATGATCTGTCTGTCAAGAGATGGGTAGCAGGGCAACTAGGTGGTGCAGTGGATAGAGCTCCGGCCCTGGACTCAGGAGGACCTGAGTTCAAATCCGGCCTCAGACACATAACACTTACTAGCTGTGTGACCTTAGGCAAGTCACTTAACCCCATTGCCTAGCCAAAAAACAAACCAAAAAAAGAGATAGGTAGCATGCTTCATCGGTCTTTTGGATTCTTAGTTGGTCATTGTATCAATCAGAGTTCTTACATTGTTCAAAATTGTTTGTCTTTACAATATTGTTATAGGTTAGAATGTTTTCCTAGTTCTTCTCACTTCACTCTACATCCGTTCATTCAAGTCTTCTGAAGCTTCTCTGAAACCATCTCTGTTATCATTTCTTATGTCTAACTAGCTCTCTCATTTCTCTTTCAACTCTTCCTGCTTTTTAACTTCTCCCCACTCATACCTACAGCTTATTTCTAAGTCCCACCAAGGGCATCTTCAGGTATTACTGGACCATATTGAGACTGTGGAAGTTAACGAGGCTTCTGAGTTCATGCCTGCTTATTTCTTGTCTTCAATAAAGTTTTTTTTGGCTTTTCACATTTTGATTGTTTTCTTCTTTTTCAGATTCAGAAGAAATAGATAGAAAAAGAGCTAGAGCCAAACATAGTGAAGGGGGAGATGTCCCACCTAAATACTTTGTTGTTACCAACAACCAACTTTTACGCGTAAAATATCTGTTAGTTTATTCTCAGAAACAACATAAGAGGTAAGAAAAAGATTTACTGCTTGAGGTGTGGTAAAAAACAAACAAACAAACTGTAAGTTCATTTAGCAGCAAATTGATTTTATTCGACAAAATATCTGTGGTATGGGCAATGACAGAAACCAGTGTAGGAAGAAATTTAAGACTTGGGAGTTGCTTGAAGCACTAATGACTCCACTCTGCTTGGTGGGCCTCTTCATCTAATGGCTTAAAAGCATGTGATTTTCTCCCACAGAAAATTATTGTGATCTCCTACCTATACTTGCCTTCTTCCTATTTCTCCCAAAGCTCAGAAACATAGGGACCCTAGGTATCCACTGCAGTTCCAGTAGTGATCAATTTCTTGGAATCAAAGCATGATTTCCCTGGCTCAAGCTTATGTAGGTAGGCATTTAAAACTGGAGGCAGTTGGTAAAGTATCCTGATGATTGTTCCTCTCTGGGCAGATGCTAGAATATCTTTTGTTTCAAGAAATTAAACCAGGGGTTTGCTTAAGGGAAGATGGGTCAAAAAAGGTAAGAGAAGAACGAGGTCATTGCTGTTGCTGTCTTTGTACATTTAGAAAATGTACCGTTGAAAGAAGCTCTAGGGCCAGGGAACGCCAATACGCCCCAGATTTCTCTGGGTGAAGAAGCACAGAGAAGTGTAGCCTTGAGGCTCACTTAGCAAGTGGAATTTATCTCAGTCATTCTTTTGGCCAAAAAATACTGAATAGCTATTAAAAAAAGGTTTTTATCTCCCTCTCCCCCTCCCTTTTTGTTTTTTTAAACATAGGGTCTCAAGCCAGCCCTCCTGGATTTCTAACCATCGATTCACTCTCATGATGCTGCTGTACCTGCTGCTGCTGATCATTATAGGTGTCAGCAACTCTCCCTCTTTCTTGCACTACTGGAATCGAGCATTGGAGTCAAAAAGATAAACTTACCTGGCTCAGCAGGATAGCCTCTGTCATATGCCTTAGTACCTCCTGATCTGTTAATTCCTGCACCTCCACCTGGGACTCTGGGCTAGAGGCTAAGGAGGGGCAGTGATTGGAACATTACAAGACGCCAGACATTTTGATGGCCTTCTGATGCTCCTAGAGAACTTTTTTGCTTCCTAATTGGTCACATTTTGGAGGACAGTGTCAGTTGGTCACACTCAAGATTTCAGGATCACTTTGCTGTTCTCTCTGTCCTTAGCAGTTCTGAGAAGCTGAGTTTTTAGCAACGGCCAAAGGAAGAAGCCTGCTGTATTGAAAAACAAGGTGTCCAGGCTCTCGGCAATATGTTTACAATTGCCTCTGGCAGAAATCCTTCCTTTCTAATGCCTTTGGAAGGTGGAAAAATATGTTGTGTAAGGTATAAATCAGGCAGTTGGCTTGTTTTGACTTGAAATGTTACAGAGGAACAATGATGTTTCTCACGAAATGGGGGGGGATTGTTTTTGATTTATAAATTTTGGCTTTAGACTTCTGAATGTGACAACAAAAACTTCAGTAGTTTTAACCATTTTCTTGACTATCTAGAAAAGGCTTTTGCAGCAATGGTGCACTTATTAATTTGTCAGATTACAGAATTCATAGCTGGAAGGGGCTTTAGAGAGTCCAGCCGTTTCATTTTATGGTTGAGGCAACTAAAGCTCAAGGTTGCAATGATTTACCTATGATCCAACAAGTGTGAGAGCTAGGTTTTGAACCCATGTCCTCTGACTTTAGATCCAGAGTTCCTTCCACCACATTCCACTGCCTCCCAGGATGCTTTCATTCATGTATTCATTTAGCAAACATTTCTGAAGCACCTATTCTGTAGAAGATATGAATGGATGAGAAAGAAAGGGTTTTTGATGTTATTGGAGCCTCACAAGAGATTACTTACTTATATTCATCTTTTAAATCAAGGAACTGAATGTTTAAAAAAATAATGACTTGACAATTGGGCAACATCTTTGTGAATGTTTCTACATAGTGATTCATTTGGCCAATGTCCACACAACACAGCCTTTTGACTGTTTTTAAGAAAAGAAACCCAGCTATGGGCTTGCCCATCTCACGAGATGGATTTGACATGCTGCAAATAAGCCCCATGGAATTTGGACAAACACGTCCTAAATGAGAGCCTTTAATGATAAATGTTTTATTCTTAAATTTGCCACACGTCCACATGTCTTATTTGGAGGAGCATTTGATTTTTGGTATGCTCCTTGTCAGTACCTGTATGTGCTGTTTTACACGGAGAAGAATCCCTTGGATGCCAGGATAGCAGTTCCATTTGTTGCTGTTATGTATTATCATTACCTGCTTTCTATTAGGTATCCAATTTGGTTTAAATAAAACATAGCCCTATTTTTTTCCAGTTGGTGGTTTAATATATATATTTATGTATACAAACATATATGATGACATATGTATGTATGTATGCAAACTTATATATGTAAGCAAATGTGATTTTCTGTAAAAATAAATAAAATTGGTTTTCTATTATTTGTTTGCTATCAACATTTTTACACTGAGGATTGGAACATTCAAAAATAATAAAGATAAATTTCCAAATTATGTGACAGGCGATATGGTGCAGTAGAAAGAGAGCTAGCCCCAGAGGCAGGAAGCTGTGGATCAAAGTTCTGCCTCTGACATGTACTGGCTTTGTGGCCCTGGGCAAAGCCCAGGGACTCACCCATCTAGTGTTTTAGCAGAGAGGTAAGAAATGGCCATGAGGTATGGAATCTGGAGAAGTATGACTCCGGGGCTAGGATTTCTAGTCTTTGTTATTTCATCAGATGATCGTAGACTAAATTACAGGGTTGTTCCAGTTACCAGTTTAAAACTGTTGAAAAAGGGAGGCGATTGAGTCACTTGTGGGGTCCGTGTGCTAGGTGTCTTGTGCTGTATACTGTGGTAGGAAGAAGTTTATGGATAGAAACTGAGGCCCCAGCTTGTCACAGGTGCATCAGTACAAAGTGGGGAACTCCTAAATGGCACTGGGCCTGTGCTTATGTGAGTTAATGGTTACTTGTATGCTATGCTCAGCAGGGCACGAAAAGGATCCCCTTGTTCCAAAATATTCCCCTACCACCTTGATATGGTGTGTGAAATCCTCATCTGGTAAAGGTAATGTGTTCCCATGAAATACTTACTAAATTGGGGAAAGAGGTCTTAAGAGGAAATACCTTAAGCTTTAGCACTTTAACAGGATAATTTGTTGCCATTTTGGAAAGATGAACAGATCTCTTAGGGAATTGAGACACTGGATAGGTAAGTTTTGATGTGAAGGGGAAGGGGAATTGCAGGGGCTGGGTGATTCTAGGGATAGCTGGTTTGGGTGGGGCCTGGACACAAGGGGTAGAGAGAAACCCAGGGTTAAAGTCAAACTTGACTAGCTTCACCATTTTACCTTCCATCATATCTTTAGCTTAGATTATAGATGAGCCATCCCCCAGTTCAGCTTTTTGTGGACACGTTTTTCTGGGCTGCCAGAATCCTGGGGTTCTTCCATTCTAGCCAGATTGTGGGTGCAGGTGTGAACTGATCATGATCTGTTATCTCCTAAAAAGGGGAGAATTTCTTTCTAGGTGTGTAATTGGAGAAGGAAGAGTTCTACAGTGGGTTGCTGATTATTCGTTTTCTTAATAATTGATCAAAAATATTGATAAAAAATTCTGCACAGATGATCATAACATTTGGGGAGCCAGAGGAATGCAGGGGGTTGTCAATTGTAGGAAAGCCAGAAGACCTTTTTATTTCAAAATGTTGTCCCCTTCCCACTCCAACCCATCCAAGCCCATTCCCACTGCAAAGGCCAGAGGTTTGTGTTGGCCCTGATGTTGGTTACACACACCCTCTCGGTTGCTATGGTGATCTTTTGGCCTCAGGGATGAGATTCCACTCAGTTCATCCTATGAAAACAATTCTCCCTGAAGTACCCCCCCACCCCAGCACACAACACAGTTCTGCTCTCCCCATCCCTCCTTTCCAACCAGCCACCACACTCCTTGAATTTTCCATCTGCCCTCTATTATTTGTTTTCTCCTTTGTCAGTCTTTCTCTGGATGGATTTTTGTTTATTTCAAAACTAACTTGGGCTCAGCACCACTGAGAAAATGTACTGGTGCAGTCTGGTTAGAATAATCCCTTTCCTTCACATGCATCTTAGACCTGACATTTGGCTCATCCAAACAAATCAGACTGTCCCAAGATGGGATACAAACCCAAACTAGCATCATCACCCACTCTGGCTGGTGCCTTCTTTCACCTTTAAAGGTTTTTTAAGATAGACTTGCATTTCCCAACTTATGGAACCAAGGCCCAACACAAGGTGTGTGAATATGGGGGGAAGGGAGGGAAGGAAAGAGCAAGAAGGGAGAAATCCCAGGAGTGGCAGTTCTGTTAAAAGGCGAAGTGGCAAAATAGATGACATCCATTTCAACAAATTAGATTGTAAATAGACCTTCATGGCAACACGGGCGGTTTGAAAGTTCAAGGGATGTTGTAGAATTTCTCATTTGGTTTCTGGAAGATTAAATAGACTACCATCAAATACCTCTTCTACTGATGCCTGGAATTTTTTTTTTCCTAATCCACTTCTTTTATTTTTTTAAATTTTATTAATTTATTTTGATTTATCAACAATCACTTCCATATGCTTTTGGGCTGAAAATTTTTCTCCCCCTTCCTCCCCCCACCCTCCCCAAAGCGGCACACAATCTGATATAGGCTTTACATTTACATTCCTATTAAGTTGTAAGTAAAAATTAAAACCAATAGGAGGAACCATCAAAAAGATGAAACAAAACTCAACAGAAGGTAAAAATAAGTGATACCGATTCGACTTCCATAGTTCTTTCTTTGGATGTGGACAGCATTTTCCATCCTGAGGCCTTTGGAGATGTCTTAGATCCTTGTAATGCTGAGAAGGGTTCAGTTTGACAATATTAGTCATCGAATAACATGGCTTATTGTGTACAAAGTTCTCTTGGTTCTGCTCACTTCACTCAGTCTTTCCAGGTTTTTCTGAAGTCAGCCTGTTCATCATTTCTTATAGCACAATAGTATTCCATTACATTTATATACCACAACTTGCTCAGCCATTCCCCAATTGATGGGTGATGCCTGGAATTTCTTTAAAGGGACACAAAAAGTTTTCATTCCACAATTAGAGGCAAAGTTTTAAATATAAATACCAACTTTGGGAGAGGAGACATTGAAAATCTTACCAAGGTGTAAATGCCTGATTCCCTTTCTGAAAGCAAACTTTGGTGGCAGAGAACACCAGGGCACTGGGGACAATAGGGCAGGAAGGAATACCACTGAATGGGGAAAAGAGCACAGTCTTGTTGACATGCCAAGTCTTGAAGGCAAACTCTTTTTGAGAGTTTTGCTCACTTACGGCACTGATCACAGCACTCCTCAGGATCACTAACTTTCAGCTTTGTGATGACTAGTATTAAAACAGCAATTGTGGGTACACTGACTAATTCAGTCATACCTTATTAATTCATACTAGAAGAAGGGAGCAGGGAAAGTTCAAGTGAGGAGGTCAGTTTTAATTAAGGAAAAAACTCCAGTGTCTATGATGCTCAAAAAGATACATGATTTGATGACTTTAAAACTGGGCTAACCAAGTGTTGCCTGGCTCTGATGAACAGATGAGAGTGATTTGTAATTAGCATATCCCTTAAAAACAGTGCTTTAAAATTACGTTTGGGGGCTTTTTAGTAGTTTTTAAAAATTATGAACTCATTCAAAGACGAAAATTGTCTGTGAAACTGAACTTATGTACAGTTTGGGTTTTTTAAGGCATATATTAAATTTGATACTGGAGAAACAAAACTGCCCTGTTTGTGTCCCTCCCTTTCTTAACTTCTCTTCGGTGTATTTTTTTTTTAATGTCTCATTGACATTCTTTTCTTTCTCTTTTTTCTATTACTACCTATCCACTCTCCTTCCCTAAACTAGAATCCTTCCACCATAACAAAGAAATGTAGTCATTCAAAGGAAACCAGCACATGTTGTTGAAAACATACACCTCATTCTGTACCATCAGTCTATCCACCTTCCAAGAATTAGGAGGCATACTTCATTATCCATCCTCTGAAATCATATTGGACTTTGCATTGATCAGCGTTCTGAAGCCATTGTACAAATTATTTTCCTGGTTCCTATTTCACTCTAGCGTAGGTTCCTGCCAGACTTCCCAGGTTTCTTAGAATTTTGTCATTTCTTACCCACAGTAATATTCCATTACATTCATAGTCATTATTTTTTCAACCATTGCCCAAATGATGGACACCTACTTTGTTTCCTTTTTTTGCTACAACAAAAAATGCTGCTGTAAATATTTTTATAACACATGGGTCTTTTCTTTCTAAAGTACCTTGAGGGTACTTGCAAATAATTTGTTCACAAGGCTTTGAACCTCTTGCAGTTTTATCCCATTCCTAGAAAGTGCAAAAGTAAACTTTTGGTAAAGTTTATGACCAATTGTTTACAAATTTTAAAAGAGAGAAACAGAGTCCACATGAAGAGAGCTGCCTGCATGTTTCCTCCGCCAGGTCATCTCTTACTGACCCTCAAACCTGTGTAAAAAAACAGCACGGCATCTACAGCCTCAGAATGAAAGCCTAGGATTTAGATGCTTTGGAAGAGAGGCTTCCATTTCAGGCAAGCAGTGGTTGCTGGGGTCAAGTGTTTGCTTTTTGTTAGAGAAGGTGGGTAGTGTAAGTAGGGAGAGAGCAGGTAAGAAAGAGGAAGCTGAACATAATCTTGTACCATTGTGAGACCCTTTCGACCAGGTATGATGTAATTTTTTTTATAGCTCCTAGGACAATACATTATATGCATTAGTCATTCAGAAAGCATTTATTAAGTGCCTACAGAAGCCTAAATAAAAATTACAAGTTGAGATGAATTGCTATCAGATTTCATACCATATAACACTCGCTCAGGCCTAATTCTCCCACTATCACGTAGAAGACTAGATGTGTCCACCATTGATGACCATATCGATTGATGCAGCACATTTTTTTCTATCCAAAAGACAAAACAGAAGTGATAGTTGGATGAAAAAAAATGTTTGCATCAATTGACCTGCTTGGTCCTCCTAGCCAGAGTTTTTAGAGGTGTTTCCTAAGCAAGTATGGTATGGATAGTTATTATAGAAATATCTCTCTAAAAATATGGAGCACACTCTACCACAAAAACACGAGGTCCATGGTAAAAACGGGCACAAACTTAAAATATGACATTAAGACCCACAATGGGAAAACACATGGAGCAAAGGAGCAACTTACTCCCTTTGGGGAATCCTCCAGAAGTTCCCTTGAGGAGCAGCTCTCTGCTAACTCCCCAAGGGTCAGGGACCTTGTAGAGGCCTGAACCTTCTCTTCTTCTGTGTGTCTATATGTAAATGAATCTAATATTTATTATACGATATATTGCATAGAGGCAGCTAGGCAGCGCAGTGGATAGAGCACCAGCCCTGGAGT